CCAGGCACCGAGGGTCTCTGGCTTTGATATGATTTGGTCCTTCCCCCTCCTGTACGAATGGGCGCGCCATGCCATTTTGTTTGCCCCGATCCACCAACAACTCGTCAAGAGTGTTTGCTCAACGTACGACACGTGCACCCAGAAACATGACTCTAGAGAGATTGGTATCGTCCGCCTTGGGCAGTTCCGCTCAAGCCAGTCTAGGAGAGTACAGCGATTGCATGCCACCAACAAAGAAATTCGGGAGGCGGGAGACAAGGTAATTGCTGTTGCGAGAGAGTTGAAAAAGAGTGCCGCCCAAGCAATCCCAAATGACTGGCAGCTCCGAAAACGGGTCCTTGACACGAAGCAGTTTTTGAGGGACCAGAGTGAGAAATCAAAGCATGGCAGCAACTGGGTTGTTAGGAGCGTGCTCAAGGAGGAGATGTCGTCTGAAGAGTCTTAGTATGAGAGTGGTAAGTCCGATGTGCTGAGTTGTAGCTCGGGTGGGGGCAGCAGCGATGGGGATGACATGGAGTCGTGACAAGAAATTGAAAGAGTTTTTTTTGTGTGCGTTTCTGGATTTTTCAGGTGAGCACCGAAAGGGAATCGCATGCAACGCCAGCCTTCCCCAAGTTTTGTGGGGTTCAAGTGGCATTGCGTCGCGGGTGTGGTACCCACAGCTACTTTTGGCGCTGGAACGGCAGCAAAAGCTGGTCTACCGGCCGCGCAAGCGGATGTGCGCCTGGCACAAACGTTGATGCATGATGCGTGAAATGACCGAAAATCTCCGCACCCCAAAAAAGTCATCCGCGTGTGAAAGCGTTTGTTTTTATTGACATCGTACAGGAATCACATGGAACGCCACCCTTCCCCAACTTTTGCGGGGTTCAAGTGGCACTGCGTCGCGGGTGTGATACCCACAGCTACTTTTGGCGCTGGAACGGCAGGAAAAGCTGCTCTACCGGTCGCGCAAGCGTTATGTGCGCCTGGCACAAATCCTGATGCGATGTGACCGTAGAAACTCCGCACACCAAAAAAAAAGAAATCATCCGCGCGTGAAAGCCTATTATTTGTGTTGACATCGAAAAACGAATCACATGCAACCCCACCCTTCCCAAACTTGGCTAGGTTCAAGTAACACAGCGTCGCGGGTGTTATACCTTCAGCTACTTTTGGCGCTGGAATGGTAGCAATAGCTGGTCTAGCGCCTGCGGTATCGATACCGCGCGTTGTACAACAATCAATCTGCTCACGACTCCGAAAACCCCCCCCTAAAAAAATCAAGACACTCTCACACAAGTCATGAGCGCCCGCGCCTGCCTCTCCCGCTTCCCCGCACCCCAGACGACTCCGGGGCACTTCGCCTGCTGCCTCTCGCGCCTCGCCCCCGCCCCCTACCAGCTGCTCGTCCTCCTCGCCCGCGGGTCGTCGATGGTGCAGCTCCCCGCCCTTCCTCTCACGCCCTGCTGTCCACCTCGCCCTCTCCCCGCCCTACCTCTCGAGCCCTGTCCACCACGCCCACGCCCACGCCCTCCACCCTGCTCCTGTCGTGGGACCGCCGTGGTGTCTTCCCCCCGCAGCTTCTGCTGCAGCTTGGTTGCACACCCCCCCCTTTTCGCCCGAGACAGAGGCGGTATTGTCGGGCAGGACGTACAAAACTTGGCGGCGAGGGTACTTCAGAACGTTGACGATGGTCTCGAAAAAAAGCGATGCTTGTGTTTCCGCAGTTTTGTCCTTCATGCTGCACATCCGGAGAAGCCCCCACCAAGGCCTGCTAGCTACGACATCCCAACACGCCACGAAAATGGGGAACTTCTTGTCCCCTTTCCGCAGCGATTCGTCACCCGCGATCAGCAAGTAGGGAGCTTTGAGGATCATGGCGATCAGTTCAGCCATGTTCAAGTGCGCAATTCCAAGTGCAAGCCGCTTTACCGTCGTGCCGTGGAATTTCATTTTGCCCCCCGCGACATCTAGCTCGACGCCGGTGGCAAGGCGTAGCGTGGACATGACCAAGCGGCCGACTTGACAAAGGGGGGTCCCGGCCTCGAGATACTCTTGGCACAGGCCTGCCAAATTCAACCCGTACGACCGCCTCTTACTCTGGGTTACTCCAGTTCCCTCCCCCTCTTTCCGCTCCTCTCCCTCCTTCCGCTCTCCCCCCTCCGTTTCCTCCTCGCCCTCCGGAATCGACTTGGTCGTAGCATCGATGGGCCGCAACCTATCTTGAATCTCCTCGAACATTCCGTTCCCCGCGGGAGAGGGCTTGCGTGCGGCAACGAGCGCATCACTGCCATCCTTTAGGTTCTTTCGCAGTGTCTCGATAGTCTCCCTCTGGCGGGAACCCTGTTTCGGCGGAGAGCAGCGGGGGTGAAAAAGCACCA